ATTTGAGCTTGTTGCCCTGGACATTTGACTTCAAACAACAGCATAAGAAGAAATTCTATGGTGTTGAATCACATGATCCAAGAGACCAATTCTGATCGCCGAAATAAGAGAGCACACGACCAGGAAATGTCTCATACAGCAATTAAATTGTTGCATACATATATACTTTATAATTCAATAAAAATTGTTATATGTTTTTTGGTTGTTTCGTTTTCATTGGACTGTCTGTTTGTCGGTCTGTCCGCTAATCTTATAACCGCCATAACTTGAGAAGTACCACTCGGTTTTTGATAAAATTTGTACACAATGTTACTGCTATGGCAAACACACAAAAGGTTTTGAAAATCCATCCAGAGGCGGCGGACAAAAAAAGCCAAAAAAGGCAAAAAACGCTCAAACTTCGTTTTTCGACGAACTTGTAGTAGCGGTTAAAAATTGGAAGTTAGAGGTTGCAGGGGGTGGGAGAGTTAATTTTTTGACTTTGGTATATTTATACGTCTCCAACCCCGGTAATTCTACGCACATATTAATAATATTTCACTTATAGATGTCCCAGTAAATTTACCCCACAAACTAGAAATATCGCCTACAGGCGGGTGTCGATAAGTGCGACGTCATCCCCCGATGGACAAGCGTCATCGTCGGTGGTCGTACTTCACAGTCGGCAATCGCTTCCACACTACCGTGGGATCCGTGCACTGTGCATGTTGAAAGCCAATAGCAGCAATTCCTCTCAGGAGGAATGTCTGTAGCTAACTTTTTTGCCGAAGAGCTAACTTCTGCCAAACATAATCCTTTACGAACCGATGACAGCGTAGCGTGGGAAGTACAGTCGCCATTTTTTATTTTGTTTAAATCTGGCATGACTTTTCGGACACCGCGCTTATAAAGAACCAATAAAGTCACAGAAACCGACTTGACCTCCATAAAACGTCCACTTTAATTTTCTCAAGTAATTTAAAAATTATCAGCACCGTCCACTTCTATAACAATTCTCGTAAATTCAAACAGTCACCAACTACCATAAAACCTTCTCACTAGCAAAAAAAAGCTAAAAAGGCTCTCTTACATAATAAAGTTTTAAATTATGCAAAATGTTGAGATGTAGCATCAGAAATATCATGCGTACACATCTACCTGGCGCCACCGGTTCAGCCAAATCCGTCTCACAAAACGCAGACAAAAAAAGAGGCGTCCTAATGCTGGCTTGAGTCACAACAACAGGCGAACATGGACACATTCTCGACATTATTAATTTACGCATATTCTGGCTAACATCGCAGCAGTTTGTAAGTACAAAGTTTTATTGACTAAGAGTCAAGACGTTCCTTGAGGCGTGTGGCCTCCTTGGAAACAAAGGATATCAGATATTTCCCTGGAAACAGTGAAAAAATTACGCTTCCTTGAGGAACTCTCAAGGGAGGATTTAAATTTTCATTTACAAGCTGTCATCGATGTCAGAAATATTTATTTTTGTTGGCCTTATCCATTTAGCACTGTGGTGATAAAATTGGTTTATTTGTGCTGAACATCAATAAAAAATACATAATAATAATGTGTTTGCTTCCTCGAATTACAGCTCAATCGCTAAAAGTAAAAATCCGAATATAGGCAACCGTTGCACCCAACTGCTCTACTGGTTGCAGGTAGGTGGAGTTGATGACGTAACCGCCAACAATGTTGTCCAGAACTATACCCAAATTTTATATAATACAGGGTGTTTCAGTTTATTGTTGCATAACTTTAAGATTTGATAGAACTTTTAAAATTAATGCATAAAGTCTATATAAACATGGGTCGAAAAATGCGTGGCTTCCGAAATACAGGGTGTTTAAATTTACTTTCTAAAATAGTTTTTTTTTAAATATTTCGAACAATATTTGATGTATACCAGTGAAAATTGGTATACAAGGGTTTTTTGGTACGACAAAACGAACCATGGGCATAGTTTTACTGTAGCCGCTAGAGGGCGCTCTCTATTGTACCTGTATTGTATTAAAATGACCGAAAAATTTTTATTAGTGCAATTTTTTTTTTTAATAAAAAACTGATTCTTCGCACTTTTCAACATAAAAAAGCTCTCCTGTGAGTTTTCGTTATCTCGTAGTTAGCCGTTTTTGAGATATTTCGATTTTTAAGGTTCGATGCATTTTTAATTATTTATGATAAAATAACGTTAAAAAGTCAATATCTCGATAATTTTTAGAAGTAGGTAGTGCCTGCAAATATTTTTGAAATTGAAAGCAGAATAAGGTTGAACGTCAATTAGTTAACAGTTAGTTTTATTGTCTGTTGAAACCTGAAACGTTTTTTGTAATTGTGAATGCAGGAAATTTAGTTTTTTTTTGTAAGTTTTATAAAAATGCCATTTTTATTCTCCAATCAAGAGTTAGCGGATATTCATTTTGTGTATGGCTTTGTAAATGGAAACGCAGCAGAAGCAGCCAGAGAATACGCACGAAGATTTCCAAACAGACGACATCCAACTCGCTCAGAATTTGTAAGAGTGCATCGCCAAATAATTGAAAATGGTTTTGGAAATCTCCAAAGGGATCAAAACATAAATGTTCGTCAGCGCAGATTTACCCGTATGATTCTGCGTGAGTTTGATAGAGATCCGACCACAAGTGTTAGGAGAGTTTCTGGTGCCTTGGGAATTTCAGCAAGCCATGTTCACCATGTTCTTAGAAATGACCATAGACGTCCTTACCATTTGCAACCTGTACAAGGACTACAGCGAGGGGACGGAGAACGAAGAATCACATTTTGTCAGTGGATTCTTGATAGAACTGATAATAATAGGGAGTTTTTAAGTAACTTTTCATGGACCGATGAGTCATGCTTCAATAGACGTGGAGTGGTAAATTTTCATAAACATATTTGGTCGCATGAAAATCCGCATGCAGTTCGGGAAAGAAATTTTCAGCATGAATTTAGTGTGAACGTGTGGATTGGTATGTACCGTAATCGACTATTTGGACCCTACCTTTTGCCTGCAAATATGTGGGATGATATATTAGATTTAACAAGATTGGCCTGGTTCCAGCTTGATGGTTGTCCAGCTCATTATTCGAGAATAGTTAGAAACTGGCTCTACGAAAATTATCCAGAAAGATGGATCGGCCGTGGAGGACCAGTCGCCTGGCCTCCACGATCCCCTGACCTAAATCCATTAGATTTCTTTGTGTGGGGATTTCTAAAAGAAAAAGTGTACCAGACTCCCGTAACCACAAGAGATATGCTAATAGACAGAATCAGGAATGCATGTGATGAAATAAGGCCTTATTTGAATAATGCTATACCACGTTCGATCATCCGTAGATGTGAATTGTGTATTGAACAATTGGGTTTACATTTCGAGCAACTACTTTAGATTTTGTATGTTTGTCCTAACTATCCAATAGCATTTTAGTTGTAAATAATTAATTTAATTTGTTAAAAATAATATTGGAAAATGAAACAAATTAATATTCTGTTTTTTGTGTTTATTTGGAGTTAGGAATTATTGCTGTGTTTAAAAACACAATCTAAACGATCATCTTAATTATTGTAATGCCCAAATCGAAAATGTAAAAAAAATATTGTTTTCCCATAAATAATTAAAAATGCATCGAACCTTAAAAATCGAAATATCTCAAAAACGGCTAACTATAACGAAAACTCACAGGAGAGCTTTTTTATGTTGAAAAGTGCGAAGAATCAGTTTTTTTATTCAAAAAGCAAAAAATTGCACTAAGAAAATTTTTCGGTCATTTTAATACACTGCAGGTACAGTAGAGAACGCGCTCTAGCGGCTACAGTAAAACTATGCCCATGGTTCGTTTTATCGTACCAAAAAACCCTTGTATACCAATTTTCACTGTTACACATCAAAAATTGTTCGAAATATTTTAAAAAAACTATTTTAGAAAGTAAATTTAAACACCCTGTATTTCGGAAGCCACGCATTTTTCAACCCATGTTTATATAGGCTTTATGCATTAATTTTAGAAGTTCTATCGAATCTTAAAGTTATGCAACAATAAACTGAAACACCCTGTATAAATTATGTGTGACAGTTCAAAAAAAGAAGTTTAGCGAAATACTAGAAAAATTTGAAGGTATCATTGGAAATAAAAACAGATAGCTCCTTAATAAGTTTGAAGGGCAAATTTCCGAAACCTATTTTTTACAGATAGGGGAATAACCACAGTCTCTATGAATTAATTTTTACAAATCCATCTCTAGGCTCACAGAATGGGCTGCTTTATAAAAATAAACTCACTGTTCTTGCTTCCCTAGTTGCTACAAAAATGTTCTACTAACCCTTGTTTGACGCAGTGGCGAAGCGTCCATGTAACCATTGTTACCATTGGTAACAGTTAAAAATAAATATTTTATGACTAAGTACTGTGAAATAATTTCATTTATTTGTTTACCAAAAGCTATATGTAATAGTAATTCAGTAAATAGCAAATTAGCCCCACGAAAATAATGCGCCCTATAGTGTCTAGGTTTTGCGAACACGATGAAGCTGACTCGGTTGCCGGTTGTTACCATTTTCATTTATGGATACACTTGGTAGTCCGTCGGGGACCGTCGGTACCGGCTCGTGTCTGATCGCGGTCGCCCTAGTGCGTGGGGCGCTGCGACTATTATGTGGGCTTGTTACCATTTTTTAATTTGGTTACTCACTTCTCACTCATTAGTAGCCGTTTTGGTTACCGGCTGTAGTATGCGTGCAATTAAACATGGATGAGTGTCGCTGCGTAATCGATCAACTACTTGAAAAGTCATTCTCCTTGTATAATATTTAAGAAAAAAAATGAGGTCATTGAAGATGGAAGACCAACACCTATTTTAGATAGTTTTAAAAAGGAATAAAAAACGTAGTTTGATATTTTAAATTAAGTTGGTATATGGAAACTCTTGGTTATGTGGTTGCAAAAAAAAACAGATTGTATTGTTGGCGATGTCTTCTGTTTTATACAGAATAAAATGCAGCGGAGTCAACGATTTAAATAGTTTTAGGGCTCTAAAGAGGAGACATGAAATTTCTCCGTTACATGTGAGATATGTAGCCAATTTAATTCAGTTTGGCAAAACAAGAATCGAAAGTTGTCTTAACCAAGCACACTTCTAGATACCGTATGTTTTTTGGCAAAACAGGAATTACCGTTCATTTTGAAGAGGATGACTCTGACAATAGAGGAAATTACAGGAAATTGTTAACATTCATTGCCAAAAAAGATCAAAAATGTTCCGAACATCTAGAAACGTCGACTGTTTTTTTCGGACGGCTTGGAAGTAGTAGAGATAGACAACACTATATCTAGTCCGATTGATATAACATCAGGTGTCCCTCAGGGTTCAGTTTTAGGGCCCTTGTTGTACTTAATTTATCCTATAGACTTGGGTAGCTCTGTGAAAAACTCTTCTGTGATGTGCTATGCCGATGATACACAGATATATAAGAGCTTTAATAGTAACACTTTACATACTTCAATCAATAAGCTTAATGATGATTTGGAGGCAATAGTAGGATACTCAAATGGTAACAATCTTAAGCTCAATAAGGATAAGTGCTCAGTGATGCTTTTTTGTCCTGCTGTCAAACGTAACACTATATTGAATTCTCTTGATGTAAAAATCGACAAGGAGCGTCTAGCTGTCGTAAATACTACAAAAAATTTAGGGTTGATTATTGATTATACTTTACGGTTTAAGGAGCATGTTTCATCTATCTTAAAAAAATGTTATGCAACTCTGAAGTGTTTTTATGTCAATCGCTCTATTTTGAATTTTAAAGTTAGAAAAAAGTTATGTGAGGCTATTATATTTCCAAGCTTATTTTACTGTAGCACTGTGTTCTATCATTGTCTTGATTCTATCACAAAAGCAAGACTCCAAAAATTCCAAAATACTTGTTATCGATTTGTATTTAATCTCAAGAAGTATGATCATGTTTCCTTAAAGAGATTTCAGCTTGGTTGGATGTGTATAGAAAATGCTTGCAAGTACCATATAGCAGTGTTTACACATAAGATCATATCTTCTCGCTCCCCCTTGTATCTTTATGAGAAATTTGTTTTCAGACGAAATAATTCAGACATTGATTTCAGACACAAAAAAAGACTAGAGATCCCTATGTATAAAACAACTTTATTTCGTAGTTCATACACTTACAATGCTATCCTGATTTATAACGAATTAGATGACAATATAAAGGATTGGCCAGTAAACAGATTTCGTAAGCATGTGAAACGGATTTATTTGTCATTGTAGTAATTGTGGAAAAGTTAGTTTTTAATTCTTATATTTTATTTTATTTTTACGTAATATATGTGTGTATATATTATGTATGTCAGGAAGCTATCAAGCTCATTGTTTTGAAGCGTCTTTTGCTGCTTGTCAAAGTTTCCTTTGATTAAGTATTTGGGTAGGTTAAGTAGAGTAGCCAAGAGCTAGACTTCGTCTACGTAGAGGTCACATTATGTTGTAGTTTATATAATGTGCCTAATAAAGACATTTTATTATTATTATTATTAGTCATAGCATAAGACGATGAGGTATATCAAGTGCCCCAGACGCTCAGTCCAGGAATGTTTACCTTAATTTAAAATACGAGTAGTTTAAATAAAATACCTAAAATAAGCAAAAACTTATACTTGGGAGGTTCAAAATAAACTTTTTTTGGTAACAGTTTAGGAAAAGTCACGCGTCGCCACTGGTTTGACGTAATCCCATATTTTTTTAGCAGCTTACTCGTTATTTTGGGTGTATTTGGGTTATATATTTTTGTTACTTCCTCCCAAGAATTATTTTTTAGATGTATGGCGGAGCCGTCAGTTTTCTTATTTGCAGTGATAAATTTAAATTTATCTAATATATCAACCAGAGACATCTTGTCTGCCTCGCTGAAGTTCTTTTTATATTTGCTGTCACACATTGTGACTCGTGCACAGTTCAGTAAAATTTTAGAAATTACAAAATATTTGAATTTGAACCAATATTTAAGCCGATTCTGACAGACGCAGTCGACAACCTGTCAGTAGAGCGATTGCCGGTTGCCTATATTCAGGTTGTCACTTCTCGTGATTGCGCTGTAATTCGAAGAAGCATAAACATTATTATTTTGCATTTTTATTGATGTTTAGCACAAATAAACCAAATCATCTGAATCATGAAAATGTTAAATAGATAGGGCCAGCAAAGAAAAACCTTTCTAACATTGATGACAGCTTGTGATGACAACTGCTACAGCCTACTGTGAAATGAATATTTAAATCCTCCCTTGAACGTTCCTCAAGGAAGCTTCATTGATTTACTGTTTCCAAATGGATATCTGATATCCATTATTTCCACGGAAGCCTCACGCCTCAAGGAATTTCTATAAATCTGACTCTAAAAGCTGTTTAACCATTTTCAGTAAAATGCGTGAGTATCAAACTGTGTTACATTTTGTTACAGTCTAATAATTTATTGCATCGCTCTAAACGATACTGTTTCTGCGAGTAATAATGTTAAGAGGGAGTATTTGGCAAGCGAGAGTAAACTTCAGCATCAGAATCCTTGTGATTAAATTTGTAGCTATTTATGATAACTCTTCTACCAGAAGAGAAGATGTTTTGAATGCGACCACAATTAACGAACGGTTTCTTGTCAGTACTGACAACTCTCAGCTGTGAGTTTACTTTCCATTTTGCGGACTGCTCTAGTAGTGCGTTGTGGTCCTCAAAATCAGAAAGCCATCTAAACATACAACAAAATAAACATAACCCGTTTTTACTATGCACTGAAGTGACCAAAAAGTTGAAAAATCAATTTCAGGATTTTTTCGATGTTGTTCTCCATAAGCTTATTTATTTATAAGATTATTGGCCTTAAGGGACCGTTTCTCCACTACCAGGTCCATTGCAAATGAATCGTTTGCAGAACACGAAAGACCTATTGGCATGCGAAGTGTTTACCGACGAATGAGAAGTTTTGGCTTGTTTTCACACCAGCCACACTGGGTCCTCCCTTTAACTCGAGAACACCGATGTAATCGCCTTGAGTGGTGCAGACAACGGTCACTCTGGGATCAGGAATGGAACAGTATTGTCTTTAGTGACCAGTCTCGATTTTGTTTAGGCATGCACGATGGTCGTGCCAGGGTTAGAAGGCGACGTGGTGAAAGGAGGAATCCACAGTTTTTTGTTGAAAGACATGTTCATCACACTGTTGGAGTTATGGTATGGGGTGCTATAGCTTATGGTTCCAGGTCACCTTTAATCTTCATCAGAGGTAACATGAACGCGCAGCGTTATATCCACAAAGTTCTAGAACCCCATCTTTTACCCTATCTTGACACCCTGGCAGATCCAACTTTTCAACAAAATAATGCCCGACCACATGTTGCAAGAGTCACAATAGACTTCTTTCAACATAATGATGTCACATTGTTCCCATGACCACCAAGATCTCCCGACTTATCCCCAATTGAGCACGTGTGGGATATGATGGGTACGAGATTGCTCAATTTGCAACGTCCTCCTCAGACTCTAGAAGCACTTCGAGAGGAGTTGGTGGTTGCCTGGAATGAGATACCACAGGAGGACTTTGACCACCTGATCAGAAGCATGCCTAGGCGCGTTGGAGAATGCGTAGCACATCAGGGTGCATCCACACATTATTAAAGGTCAAAGGGCTTTAAAGCAGTGCAATCATTTTGAAATTTTTATCATTTACTTATTATGCTTCATTAAGTACTTATACAAAATGTTATTAAAATAAAACCATCTAAACTGGGTGTTCGGATTTATATGTCACTTAGTATACTTTCCTATTTGTCCACCGACCCCCAATTTTGACTTAAGATTCGTGTTCAGCGTAAAAACAAAATATTTTATTTTATATGCCTGTGTAATCTGTAGAAAAAAACTGCGTCTATTTAATCTAAATCTTTGCATTATCGGACATCCTTTATTGTCCATGTCATCGATCCCTTCATGAGCAGCTATTTTCAAGGGAAATGCAGGTAAAAAAAGGGTCGTGCGGTTTATAACATCAAGGAAAATTAGTATCAAGAATCATTCTCAGTACTATTAGCCTTATCCTTTTCATAACTCGTATGAAAAGCGACGTTCATCTTGATAACTCAAAGACGGAATCCAGTTCCCCCATCCAACTTAGACCACCGATATCATCTGCTCGGAATACTAATCCACACAGCCGAAGATCTTAAATGACACTCATCGTCGGACAGTATGAATGCTCTTCTTTGAAGGAAGTACACAAAAGGGGCAGTCATGCTCCGCATCTCGTGGCTGGCGTGTCAAAAGTGACTGGCAGATATCCGATTCCGATAGATACATGCAGATATGTTTATAAAGTGTCTGGTTGTATAGGGTTTGATGATTATATACTAAGAGACATAAAAAAAAGAACGCCGTGTAATAAAGGATTTTTTAAAGATTTTCTAGGTATACAGGGTTTGTCCGGAAAGTAATAGGACTGAGTCGATTTAAAAAATCTTATTGAGCCAATCGTTACAAAACTTTCTCCTTCTGCGTCGATGCAGCGCTGCCAGCGCGATTTCCAAGCATTGAAGGCGTCACGGAAGGCATTCTCCGGAATAGCCTTGAGAGCCGCGGTGCATGCTGCTGGTGGTGCAACTTCCACTCGGCTGCGATGTCTTGTCGGACCCGACTGACCCTTCGTTTGAGTCTCCTGAGCACTTCCACGTAAAACTTGGCGTTGACGGTTTGTCCAGGAGGAACAAATTCATGGTGGAGGATGCCTTTGATGTCCAAAAAGACAATGAGCATCGTTTTCACTTTGGATTTGCTCATTCTTCCCTTTTTTGGGCGAGAAGATGCCGTCGTGTGCCTCTCGGAAGATTGCCTCTTTGTCTCGGGATCATACTCAAAGATCCACGACTCGTCACCTATGATTACGTTATTCAAAAATTGGGGGTCACTTTCACACAAGTTCAAATTTTCTTGGCACACTCCCACTCGCCGCAATTTCTGGTCGTCAGTGAGCATTTTTGGGACCATCTTCTCGCACACCTTGCGCATGTTCAAATGCTGTGTCACAATGTCATGAACCACAGATTTTAGTAAATTTAACATCTGATCAATTAAACGAATACTTAGTCGACGGTCTGAGTTCAAAACTTTGCGCACACGAGTCACATTATCGGTGTTTGTCGAAGTCGAAGGTCTTCATCAGCGATCTCTTCATGGACCTCCAAAAAGGCCTGGTGCTACCGAAACACACCACTTCTTGCTAAAGCCACACCTGGGTAAGCCTGCTTGATCATATCAAACGCAGATTTACCGAGTTTCACACAGAATTTAATCGCGTACGCTCCGAAGTACAGTCATGGCGGAAGAAAATGAGTCCTATTACTTTCCGGACAAACCCTGTATGGTTGCTTAAGTTAGAACAAACTACGATGAACTTTTCAAGTGGTTGTTGTGATATCTCCTGTTCTTACAAAACTGCTGCACAGTTTTAAAAGTATGCTGATAAACTTGTTTTTTAATAAAAACCCAAACAAAAAAGTACACAGGAGTTAAATCCTGGGAACGTGCTGGCCAGGACCCTGGAGCTTTCAATCCACCTTCTGGGAAATCACTGAGAAAGCTACTCTCGAACTTGCCTAGAGTTCTGTGCAGGAGCACCGTCTTGTTGAAACCAACAGCTATTAACCTGTGCCAAAGGTAAATTATCCAAGCAGTCTTCTAGATCATGTTGCAACAATTAAAGGTTCCGTTCTGCAGTTAATGAGTTGTGGTCTTCATCACACCTAAAGTTATCGGGGTGATATCTATATTTCTGCCAAATAAATTGGGCTGTGGATTTGGCTACTCCTACATTTTTCTCAATTTGCCTAGTTGATATTTCAGAGTTTCCTCTAAAGATTCCTTCTTTCGAGACGTAACGTTTTTGAATGAACCATATTCATTTAAATTACGAAAAATGGACTTACTTGGCTGTCTTCTTCCGGAAAGTTTATTCAAATACATTTTTAGTATTTTTGAGGCACAAAATGTGGCACGTCAGCATGTTGAACTTTTCTTCATTGCAAAAATGACCGCCTGACGTCTTTGACGATACACAATAATAACAAAACTCAGTGACAGGTATTTACGTCAAGTCAAGCATTTGTTTGCAACGCCTACTTAAAAAAATTAAAAATAATCATAAAAAACGCATTTGTCCTTATAACCAAGAAAATAAATTTAACATGTGATACATCGTTGAATTTGTATAAAAAATGTTTAGATAATACAGGATGTACTTTTTTCGGACCATATAAAAAAATAAAGTTGATTATTGCAGTGAAACTGATATTGCTATTTGGCTTGTGGAAAATCCTCCAGGACAATAAAATCTGCGTAAGTTTGGTTGGTGTATTGGAGGGTTTTTTCTTATTTCCGTTGCATCAGTGCTATCGAACACAAAAACTACATTCCTGGGTACGGTCTTCATGTTTTTTTTGTCATGTTCTTTGGAAATAATTTATCGCAATTAATAGTCTGAAGAAATTAGATCCACTTGTAAATATGGCATCTAATGCAGACTCCTGTGATTCCTGTAAAGACAGCTTTGTAGTCAACTCAAAATACATTGAAGGCAGTATATGTGAAGGCAGATATCATACAGTTTGCGTTTCGGTGAAGGACTCTTGGTTGAAGCTCTTTTCTGATTGGGTTAATTTTTCATGGAGTTGTGATAAATGTATTCTCCAATCCCAGTCACGTGGACAGCAACTGGCTTCTGAAATTGCAGCATTGAAAAAAGAGATCGAATTTTTAACACATGAGAAGAACTTGAGCTCTAAAATGATAGAGCAACTAGAATACACAAACAATCTCCAAAAATCAGTCATTGATTCGCATCAGCAACAAGCAGCTCATTCCAAGATGAATTCAGTTATGCTACCTTCGAGATCAACTACTTCCGCAACGCTAAGCTTTAGCGATGCAGTCAAAAAAATACCGAACAGGTCTTCTGTCTTGCTAATCAAGTCTGACAGTAACTCTGGCAATAACGATATTCTGCGGGATGTAACAACTTCAGTAAATCCTGCTAAAATTAATGTTTGCATTAATAACACGCACAAAATAAGAAATGGAATTGCAGTTCACTGTCAAGATGAGAAGTCACTTACGGTTCTTAAGAATAGTTTGGATAAGGAGCTTGGGTCCAAATATTCAATCATGGAAGCTAGAAAACTTAATCCACGTCTCCTAATCAAAAACGTTAACCTCGACGGTCTGGATTCGCCCGAATCGATAATCAATAATATTGTAGCCTTAAACAATATTGATGACACGCATCAGTCTGACATAAAATTCGTTACCAAACTTAAGCATTACGAGAGCACAAATATCGTCATAGAAGTATCTCCTGACCTTAGGAATATCATGTTAGAGAAAAGTTTCCTGTTCATCGGATGGAAGAAATCGCCTGTAAGTGATCATATACGTGTGTTGAAGTGTTTTAAGTGTTGTGGTTATGGTCATACCGATATAAGCTGCAAATCTAATGTTGTATCTCCAAAATGCTCCCAAAATCATAAAGCTAAAGATTGTAAATCATCTGTTTTCCAATGCATAAATTGTCTTAATGTTAACAAAACCAGAAAGAAAGGTCTACCAACTGATCACGCGTCTTACTCTAGCTGTTGTGCTGTTTTTAAAAGCCATTTTGATAATTTGAGAAGTAGAATTAAGTGTGGCTGACATTATTAAATTTGTTCACTCTAATACCTGATCAATTCTTCCTTCAATGGCGGACCTTTCTTTCATAGTTAATGATATGGATCTCGATGTAGTGGCTGTTACAGAAACATGGCTGTCTTCAGATATTCCAACAAGTGCAGTAGATATTTCTGGTTATAACTTCCATCGTCGTGATCGTGGTAGTCGCGGAGGTGGGGTTGGCTGTTAGGTCAAAAATCGTTTTTCATCAGAAATTCTATCGTTTGAGAAATATGATCATACTTCTCTAGAAATGCTTTGGCTCAAGGTTCGTATTGGCCGTAAATGTATTGTAATTGATGTTATTTATAGACCGCCTCGGGGAAGTTTGGATGTTGCAGTAAGTATATTAGATAATACGTTGTCCATCTTAGCACCGTCTAATGAATGCATCTTGGTACTTGGTGACCTCAACGTTAATTTCTTTATTGATAATAAGATTAATCAGTGCTTTCAATCTTACAGCCTGCACCAGTTATTGAATGAACCAACTCGAATAATTGATCACTCTTCAACGCTTTTAGATCCGGTTTTCTTCAACTGTGCACAAAGATGTTCCAAAGTGGGAACTTTCACTGTTAACTTTAGTGACCATCAGGCAGTATTCTGTCACATTTCGTGTAAAAACAATAAACCACCACCTAGACTAATTACATTTAGAGACTATCGCAATTGTGATCTAACCTCTTTTGACGATGACTTATTTAGCGTTAATTGGGCTGAGTAATTTATATGGCTAATATCAATGAGAAAGTAAAATTTATTTCCGATAACACTGTAGGACTTTTTGACATACATGCACCACTAAAAACAGTGAGAGTGTCTAAGCCTCGTGCACCATGGCTCACAAATAATTTGAAAATGATAATGAAAGAACGAGATAAGGCTTTTCATAAATATAGACGGTCTCGAACGGATGCGAATCGAAATCATTACAATGAACTGAGAAATTTTACAAAAACTGCTACACGTGCAGAGAAATCAGGCTACCTTCAACATCTATCTCGACAAAGAAACTCTGCAGCTCTTTATAAAGCTCTTAAGTCATTTAGAATTCAGGATTCTAGTAATACTGACATTCCAGATGATTTAGCAGTTCACAATGAAATAAATTTTACCAGTATATTCCAGAAAAGTGACGATAATTGCTCGGAAACTATCGAATTTTATAGCCATAACAAATTAAACCAAGATTTTCATTTCCAGTTCCGTCTTGTCGATATATCTACAGTATTGGATGCTATTCGCAGTATCAAGTCCAATTCTAGTGGTATTGATGGCATTACCATTGAGATGATTAAATTGTGTCTACCTGCTGTAGGAATATACATTTTGCACTTAATAAATTGTTGTTTAGAGCGCGGTGTTTTTCCAAGTGCTTGGAAGGAAGCATTAGTGCAACCTCTTCCAAAGATTCACAATCCCCACGTTCCTGATGATCTCCGACCTATTAGCTTGCTGTCAGCTCTATTAAAAATTCTAGGGAAAATAGTTTATATGCAGTTGAATGAGTATTTACTCGAACGCAGCATTTTGCCATTAAATCAATCAGGCTTTAGAAAGGGTCATAGTACCACTACTGCTTTGGCACGAGTTTGTGACGATGTACTAACAGCGGCGGATAGGCAAGAAGCAACTGCATTAGTCTTATTAGATTTCAGCAAGGCTTTGACACCCTGAATCATAAGCTGATAGTTTCTAAATGTAAATACATTGGGTGTGACGACTTGGTTCTGGAATGGATAGATTGCTATTTAAATGAACGACATTAATATGTCGTCATACAAAATAAACTTTCAGACAAAAGGCCGATTTGTTCCGGCGTGCCTCAGGGATCCATATTAGGTCCACTTTTATTCCTTATATACACCTTTGACATTTCTAACATCCTTCAACATTGTTCTAGTCAATCATATGCTGATGATATGCAGGTTTTTCATAATTTCTGTCCGAACAACTACCATTTAGCTAACAACCTTATCAATCAAGATCTGCAATACTTATGCACATATGCTGCAAAACATAATTTACGTCTAAACGCATCGAAATCGACAGCTATACTTTTTTGCTCCAAGAAAAAACGTACTTTCCTCAAATCAAAGTTAAATTTATCACTAAATAATAGTATCCTAATATTTTCCCATTCTGCAAAAAATTTAGGTTTGTACTTGGATGAAGATTTCAGATTTCAGGAGCATGTTGGCTATGTGTGTAAGTCTAGTTATTTTAGACTCAGGCTTCTATATGCAAGTAAAACTGTTTTAAATAGAAAAATTAAGAAAATGTTATGCGAGTCACTCATACTCAGTAAAATCGCTTACTGCAACATAGTTTATTATCCCGGTCTGGATGAAATCACAAAATACAGACTGCAAAAAATTCAAAACTCATGTAGTCGTTACATAAACAATTTAAGAAGGTACGATCATGTTTCTCACTCAATATCTTCAATGAATTGGTTGAAAATTTCTGATCTTTTCAAATACAACTTTGTTACATTTGTCGTAAAAATATTAAAATCTTGTGTTCCGGTTTATCTTATGCAAAAGCTTGTTCGTAGGAATTTCATTCACAATTTAAATACGCGCAACATTAATCTCCTGACAATGCCACAACATAGGACAGCCATTTTTCAACGGTCTTTTACGTATAATGCGGTGAAATTGATCAACTCTTTCGAACAATGTTTCATCAGCAACTTTTCTAAAAAAAATATATAAGAACTACTTATTGAGCTCTTAGATTATTGTCTTCTCTTTGAATCGTACGTATTATGTTTTTTGTTCTAATCGTACGCATTATGTCATATTTATTAATTCTTCTTTTACTATTATTCTTCTTTTTCCTTTTCTTTTTCAGTTTTTTATGTTATTTTTAAGGTAGTAATAAGCATTGACATGACATTTATGGTTAAGTATAAATGGCCATTGGCCAGACGTCGCCATTTGTAAGGATACATAATTATGTATGTGTTACAATAAAGTCCATTGAATTGAATTGAATTGAATTGATGATGGTTTCTCAAAAACGAACCGTCGGTCACAAAATTTAAAACCATCATGTAGAGCCTAAGAAGTGCCAATGGCAAAGTTTGGTTAGTTTTTTGATATGTCTTAAAATGAAGTCAGAAAGAATAAAAATGATTCATCCAAATTTTAATTTTTCCCAAATATCTCAGTAAGCCATGAAGTGTTTACAAGTTTCTTTCAAAGAACTCTGCTTTTTCCTGATTTAATTTAGTATTGAGATCCCATGCATGATCCTGATCTTGGACACCCTGTATAGGCTTTCTTATTTCCGTATATCCATTATCTCTTCTCGACTATTTCGTTCGTTTCTATGAGCATTTTATGGCTGTTCCGGAATGATCCGTCGAATTGGTAGATACGGCATAACACGTGAATAATGACCCGAAACATTCATTCTGAAGGCCTTTGCACTTTGAGGCATTTCATGAATATTTTAACAGCTTCAACCATTTGTATTCTGTCTGAACCTACGGGAAAAATAGATAGGTCAAATTCGAATCTAATATTTGAAATTATCCCGATAAAGAAAAAGTTGTTATGGGCGTTAACTAGAAAAAACTGAAATGCGATGCCGACCAAAACAAAAAATTGTCGCAGAGTACTATCAGAGAGGAAAGTCTGTCAAAAATCGGGTACGATGGGTGCGAAAGGAATTCCGTCACTCTGACTGTGGCACATTCTAACAATAAATAATTTAAAAAAGTATATCAAGCTATAAAAACGTGTGTGCTGTGTCTTTCAGAGATATTTTTCTCAAGAGATCAGGACTAAGTATCAATATAACACCTAATTAAGATAAAAAAAGTAAATTTTTTTGTAAATCATACACCTGGTTGGATCTTTTGAATTTCACCCTCCCCAGGAAAATTGAAGGGAGGCTCATACATTCCCACTATATAAAGGGTGCGCCATCTATTACTTTTTTTCCTATAAGTTTATGTGTTACCATGTGAGTCAAAAGTCATGTGGTATGCATAAATGAACTGTCAAAGGTATGCCATTCATAGTCATGGATTCGTTTACAACACAACAACGCATTTTGGTTACCCAAACTTATTATGAAAACAGTCGAAATATAAAAAATACTTTTCGCAAACTTCGCACTAGTTTTCGCCGACATGGACGCCCTACAGAGCCTGGAATTCGTTGGATTGTTAATCCTTTTGAGGAAACTGATTCAGCTGAAGGTCGCAGACCATACCAACATGCTCGTCCAGCTCGTACTCGTGAAAACATAGCGGCAGTGAGTGAAAGTGTGCGAGAAGATCCAACCACCTCGACTACAGTATATTCAGATAAGAGATAGACCGGATGTAAACAAAAGGTTAGGGTGATTTTCACGCTAACGCCGCCGTCTCGACGTAAAACAGGAGCCCTCATTGGTCAATTCGCAATTAAATGCCTATGCCGAGCGGCAGAGCAGTCGCATCAAGGCAGAGTCACATTCAGGTTCAGACGTGTTACGTATGTCGTGTGCATCATTGCAATTTGATATTTCTTTGGACGTTTTCGTTTGTTATCTTATTAAGTTGTTGAGTTTGTCGTTATTATTGTTATACCTTGTTATTGATTGTAATTGTTATCAACTGCTTGCGCAAAATGCCCAGTAGTACAGATACTGCCGATGAAGTTGTAAACTCCTGTAGTCCACCTAGGAAACGCTCTAAAAAAAGACACCTGAGTGCAGAAATGAAAGAGGTCATTTTGAATATATATAAGATCGAGCGCGAGGAGAACGAGGCATCAACCATCAAAGAAATTGTTGTGAAGGTTTCTCACAAAGTTGGGGTGTGTCGCGCATCAGTGTTTAATGTGTTAAGACAATACAAAAAAAATCACACCTTTTCTGAGCCAATGACCAGTAAACATCGCAAAAGTATTGTTAAATCTTTGGATGAAGCTGATAAGCATGCGATTAGGAGGAAAGTGCATGAATTCTTCTTTAGGAATGAAATACCTACTATAGATAAAGTACTGCAGGAGGTAAATGGAGATACAACGTTGCCAAATTTCAAACGATCAACTTTCCATGCGTTACTGAAGCATTTAAATTTCAAATGGAAAAAACGGGGTCGTAATAGTTTACTACTGGATAGAGAAGAAATTGTGCTATGGAGGAGGGATTATTTAACAAAAATTGGGAAATATAGAAATCAAAACAGGAAGATTTATTACCTTGATGAAACGTGGGTAAACGCAGGACACACTACAAGTAAAGTATGGGTTGATGATTCTGTAACTTCATCCAGGAGGGCCTTTCTAGATGGACTGTCCACCGGATTAAAAAATCCAGCAGGTAAATACGAGTAATAGACAACAATCGGATGTTTTTCAAACCTTGGGAACAAGGTTCTAAACATTAATTCCAGGGGGCAGATAAAACATATTACAAGAAACAAAACTTTTATAACTTTCGATAAAATGCTTGGATGTTTTATTGTCATTTTCATTTGTTAGAACTTTTTTAAGCCATGTTTTTATGTGTTTTCGATATTTCAATAATTTTTTTAATATAATCTTAAAATATGTCGAATATTATAAACTTAAAAAAAGTTACTAAGTTTTATATTGTGTACCGTTCCTAATATTTCTAATCATTTTAATTCATACTTTAAGCTTTATAAAGTTATAATTTGTTAATATTAATATTTGCGCGTATTTCAGGTTCCTGATCATTCATTTTTTAAAGGTTTATAAC